CTTTAGATTTTTTTTTGGCAAGTTAGGTAATCCTTTTCTGAAGATGGATTAAATCTTTTTTGGGAGATAAGGGCTATATTGATACATCAAAGGACACCCATTATAAGCTGTTAGGATGCAGCTGGTATATCTACAAATTCTGTAGCAACGCAAGTACAACAAAGCTACTTCAACTTTATTTCTGATTAATTCTGATTCTAAGTAAGGACTAATTAGTTAACTTTTACAGCTACATGATCATACAGATCATACAGCTGCATTGTAAGAGCTGATAGGCACTCCCAAGTGGCAGCTCCTCCCCTCCTTTTAAAGTTGCTAAAAAGTATGTTTGTCCATGTCCAAGTAGTCCAGAAAAAGGATTGTGTGGGTGATGCTATTTTTAGATGAACTTTTATGCTTTTGGCAGCCTTCCCATTGCTATCCCACACTGCAGTGCTTTGCAGTGGATCAATCTGTTCCTTTGTGTGCTATCTATTGCACGGAGGTATTGCTGGCTCAGTATCATCTCTTTCTTGAAATGCTGGGATTCAGACAGGGAGCTCCATTAGCAATACACACTTGGCATTGGAAGATATATCTTGTGCATCTCTATCCCCCTCTACACACATATTCCCAATTGCACCTCCATATGTTCATAGCAGGAAGTGCACTTGTGGGACCATGTGTTAGATCCCATCATGTCTTATTGCTGGTGAAGGGGCAGCCTGATCCTAGGGTACCATCTCTAGGGATGGCCGGAAAGCCCCTGGAGGCATTTCCCCTGACTGACCATGCTTTATGGGCAGTCGGCCCATATTTTCCTCTGCCATGCCTTGATGTTGCTATTATTTAGATATGGGAGGCCACCCTTGTCTTACTATAACATCCCCAGGTGTCTGGGGTCAATGCCCTATGGGTTAATTACATGACTTCAATCTACCTCTAAACCACACCCCACAGTTTAAGGGTGTTAACACTCTTGTTATATTATTTGTTATTTACCTAATCTCCCTCCCTCAGCCCTTCCCCAGGCTCTCAACACACTTAGCCCTTTCCTGGGCTCTCCACAAACTCCAGCCTCTTTACAGGCTCCTGGGCCTTCTTTGGTCTGACACAGTTGTCCCCCCTGGGCACTGGACCTTCCTGGTCTCCCCCAGGTGAGACTCTCCCAGACTCGCTCAACCCTTCTGCACTATCAGACTCCTTGGGTCTTTATAGGCTCCTTTCTGGGCTATCATCTACTTTGGTCTCTCATTCAGCCCCTCTTTGGGCCTCTCAACCCTTCTAATCCTGCTCTTTGTGGGCCTTCACCAGGACTCTGGGCCCTTTTGGTCCAGCTCTTTCCTTACCCCTCACTGGGCCTTTGGACCCTTTGGTCCCACTAGAACCTCCTTCCCATGTTTTTATCTCAGGGTGTGCTCCCCTAGCCTTTCCCT